GAAACTTCAATCAATACAGTAAATGAAAATTCACGTTCTTCTGATAACATATCGATGACAGATTCAGAATTAACAAACATTGCTGCTGTTGTCAATGTAACATCAGAAGATGTTTCACAAAGTCCACCGCCGATCAAAGTAAGAAAACGAAAAAGATGTGTTTTACAATCAAGAACAATTGGAGGTTACAATACTCGCTCATGACGTTAATATTGTATAGACAGTTAATAAGTCTTGAAATAAAAATACACGACTTGTTCCTTTGTTTCTCAAACTGATCCTACAAACGATTTTCGTTTATTTTGTACATGTAATACATGTTTTTTCATAACTGTTTTTAAGTTATAACGTTGCTATTTTTTGTTGAACTTGTAATAAAACATAAACGAAACTATTTAAACAAATGTTGTTTACATAATAAATGACACTTACATCTTTATTTGTGATATAAAATAAAGACCCTCGGTAAGTTTGAATTACGCGCGCCTTACAACAACGAATTCAAAAATATATCAGTCACAAGAGAAATTTCTCTTCGTCTATGTTCGTAATTTTAAGATTTGACCTGAAGAGTGATATATAATTTATTATCAAATCGAGACAGATTATTCTGACAGACCTTGTTTTTTCACCTTTTCAGCATTATTTATTTTGACGAATTAGTTTATATCACCATCATTGTCTTCTTCTAAACAATATGTTCTACTACTGTCGTTGTCTATGTTTTTTTTCAAAACCAAAACCACCTGACGTTTCCCACGTAAGCCGTATTTCACTAGTTGATTCTGTTGCAACACCTTATTTTCAGCTGCACCTGGATAAGGTATTCTGTATCCATGATGACATTTCATAATTTGCTTCTTTAGGCCACCTATAAAAGAAAGAAAATATATGCATAAAAACGAAATAATGTAATATGAACATATAGTTTATAGCTAGTTACGTAGAAAGCTTGCGATGTAAATTAACAAATAGCTTACGTTTATACAATATTATTCACTATACACAATATCATCGAACACGATTTTATGCGTTGGTGAAATTACATTCGACTGTACAACTGTTGTGGTTGTCATGTTGATGATGATGTTCGAATGATGAATAAAAATATAATATCGTACTTCGTTAATGTAAAATAAAAAGTACTTAAGGGATGGATTTGATAATGTGATTAGCTCTGATTGAAAAACATATCAGAATTCATCCTTCTGTCAACCAACATAAAACAACAGAATACATTTGTAAGTTTTATTTGAAAAACCTTTTGCGATATAGTTCATAAAACAAAACCAATTTTCAAGAGTTTAATAAAAGAATGATCTTAAAATAATACGCAAAAGTTCGCAATTTTTCGTGCATCCACAAAAAAAACACGAAAGTTTCATTCTTTAAATAGTTTACAAATCGATAATATTATGGAAAAGAAGAATGTAACAAAATCGATTTACATATAGCGGATAAATATATACAAGAAGATTGTATCAAATTTCTACACATAATTTCACTATTAACATTCAAAAAATCATCGTAATTTTTCTTTCAAATTAACTTTTCAAATATGAACATGGAGATAACTTCGAATTAACCTTCAGTACGACGTTTTTTGGTTTTTCCAACAGTAGGAACTGGTCCACCGATTAAATATGATAATGATGTTATCACGTCTTGAAATGTACGACGTTGCTGTTCCAATAAATTGTGTAAATGTATTATTTGCATAGTTTTTTCGCAGTTTTTTTTAGATGTTGGTTGATGATGTGATGGTGTTGTTAAATCAAGATTTCCCTTTAACATCCTTTGGTTTATTGTTGCCTCTTCATTTCTTAACTGATTCCAAAATCACCAGATATTTGGATGACGTTGTACTATTCTAGCATTAAGACGATGATTATTTGCTAAATAAATAAAAAAAACAGATATTTTCTTTATTTTGACTCGATAAATATCTGTCAAATCTATTCGATCTGGAGTAGTCTGTCTCACGAATAACTTGTGCTGGTCAATTCAAAGTGAAAGATAAAGATACTAACCTACTCCCACCACCATCATATCTGAAACATGACATGGATGGTTATGAAAATTAATTTTTTTCGAACTAAGGAAATCATAAAATCATGCTGCAAAGGGTGAACCATGATACAAATGCGCGCTCTACACGATGACAGAAACTAAATTTTTGACGTATGTAGTTCGGATATACTTGCACGAACTTTCCGGACAACCTGATATATACATTGTTCATCAATCAGTCGCTGATCAAGTACTTTGCATTGCAAGCCACCTGCATTGCAACCGCCACATGATAACCATTCTTATTATTATGATTTCATAATACCTGAACAAATCCACGAATAGTACGAATTCTTGAATAATATGTGTATTGACAATCGATCAATATGGTGCTGGTACCTTCGACAATGTTTAATTATATATTGCCGAAAGTTCAGTAATTAGTGAATTAATTAATTACTACAAATTAAAGCTGTGCTTTTAGTGTATTTCCAATATTTACAAAACTGGGCTATAGGCTATTGCCAAAGTTCCAGTCTGGTATTTTGCGAAAATCCAACAAAAACACAACTTTCGGCAACTGCCGAAAGTCCACTGCGAAAGTCACTACTGCGAAAGTCATGCTACCCAATCGGTCAGGCAAAGTAGTAAATTTACAACCCTGTAAGGAGGCTTATCAACGAAAGAATTACTAAGAAAGAATTCAGTGTCGTGAGTGGTCCATTAAGTGCCAAGTTTTCTAAACTGATAAGTCCAGCCATACCAGACGGTAAACTTGTTAATCCACTTCCTTCTAAACTCAACTTGTATACTGTCTGTCATCGAGTATTGTTGTTGTTATGTTTATGACAGTAATTTTAAGACTCATCTAGCCCCACTTTTATCTGTTCAGAAATTAGCAGCTAGAGTAATTTTGAACGACTACTTATACAGTGACGGTTTAGTTAAAAATTACGATTGCCGGATCTACAGGTTAGACAGAAGTATTTCCGCCTTATGCTTCTTCAAAATACTGATTGAAAACAGTGTCCTTTCTCGGTTTAAGATGCTTGAACCCTTATCCACAAAAATTCCAGCGAGGAGAGATAATAGGTGTAGATGGGCTATTGCTTCTTCTATGAAAGGTAAAATCAAATCATCGTTTCTATTATCAACGTGCTCAGTTCAGTTATCGCCTCTTCTTCTATCTCATACTCCAAACGTGCACTGAAAATGCATCTTCAAATTTGATCTTTTTTTGTTGTTTTGTCTCGTGTGACTTGTGTTATTCGTCTATAGCGTTATATGTATTTCTGTCTCTTCATGTATTTTGTTGTATTTTATTTATCTCTTCTCTTTCTTCTTATTTTTTTATTTTACTCTAACTCATATGGTAGTTACAGTTCTCAAGTTATTACTTGCAACTGTCCATGGCCTATGTTGCTGAATAAACTTTGATTTGATTTGGTTTGATTTGATGATTATCGTTTAACAAAGCAACTTTTTGCACTGAGAAGATGGACGGTAATGATGTTTGAGATAAAATTTGGTAGAAACATAACAACTACCGTCTCTAAGACTCCAGTTTTGCACTACTGATAGTTCTAACTTTTCTGAATATATTTGTTACAAACATTTGCCTTGATTTTGTACTTCGGGTAGCACCTACATCTTTTTTTCCTGCATGTATTTGTATGGACGTGTTCTAAATAGGAACAAAAACTGCACGTTTCATTGAACTTTGTAAGTAAAAAAACTGCTTTCCTTAACTTGATTGTAAATCTCCATGTTATTATAAATATTTTTACATAGATCGATAGTCCTGACTCTCCTTTGCTTAGTGACGAAATTAGAGCACGAGACTGCAATATCATATATCAACGTCATATCGTTCTTTTCCATTCTGTTCTTTTATGTAGGATAAAAAATTTCTTGTTCATTCTCCATCGTTTCTTACCTTTCTTTTTTCCTTTTTGTGAATAAATGTATCGAAGTATAGAAAGCGCTTGAAGCCTTTCAAACAGTAATAGTTGGAACTTGAACTTAAAATTTTATTTTATGCCCAGGAAAACATCCCGTAACAAAGGAAAACACAAAAAAACCAAAGGCTTGTAAATACAGTGCCATCACGCAGAAAATATAACAACTGTGAGAGGATAGTTTTGACAGTATCCGCAAATTATATATTCATGCTCAAAGTCCTTCTTTTTTCTCTATATCTCTCCCATCTATATTGCCACAAATACTATTATGTTTCTCACTAGTTAATCACCAGATCAACCATAACGCTAAATCGCCCACGAACAAGAACATAGAATTTTCTCCTTTTCCTACCCTTTCATTGAAGAGTATTTGCTGTGAGTTTGAAGTCAAATTGATGTTCCTAGAATGAGTTATAAATTTTTCTTAGCAAGGACCTCATATCTCAGAACCTTATTCTCAGGGACCTAGCAGGATTTCACCGACTTCTAACAGCCAGCTCACAAAATTTCATATCGTAGATAGGCTAGAATCGTGACTACATTTTAGTAAAAAGAAAAAGCTTTCATGTCTCTTACATCAGGAGTTATTAGCATTTTTGGTGAGAGAAATAAA